ATAAGATTCATAAACAGACAATTCAAATGTTCAATATTTTCTATTGACGAGATTTCTTAAAATAATTAATATTAAATTTATTTACATATTCAACATGTTCAGAGGTAACTAACAATTTTGTAATATTTATTATTCTACTTGTAGCATACACGTGTAGCACGTAGCATGTAGAATTATCAAACGTAAGAAGATACAAAGAAAAAAAGGCAAAAGATAAAATCGAAACTGGGAAAGAAATGTACTAAACATTGATTCCGGTGATGGAGTGATTTATCATTTGTACAGGGCCACCGAGTGTAATAAGTGACGCGTTCTACCAGTAGCTAACCAATTTGATTCATTAATAGGTCGACCTGCATGACCCAAAGTGTCGGACGCTGCTAAACGAATTAATTTATCTACGTTCTTAGTGCGAATACGCAATGTGTGTACCTTTTCCAGACAGAAACAAAACTCTGTTTATTCTAAACTGTGATTATTTTTATCCGTGAGTTATCTCACCCAGTTGTACGCACAACGTTGCTCTACATCGAATTAAAAACAATGCAACCCGAAAATTTCTTCACGATGTAGCGAAGGATCTTTTTCTTTCAATTTTGTTACAAAACTGCTAAAATGAAGGTAATTAAAATTTGAATTAAAAGAAAAACGAATATTTTTTAAATAAAAGTTAATTTAAGCACAAGCAATAGAAAAATATAAATATATAAATACGTAAATATGTATATAAATAACAATTTTTAAATATGTACGTTCTCAAGAAAAAAACACTGCATGATCAGCCTTGATATAGTTTTTCGTCGTTTGTTAAAATCGACGAAAAATTGCTACAGCATTTTGTTACATAAAAAATTTGTTACAATAACGAGTAAATTTTATGATATATCTCTCCAAGTTTCCTTTTCGATATATTATTACGTAGCGTAATTGCATATGAGTATATCTTATACGTGGATAATCTATGAAAATAAAGTTCGTACTCCATACGAAAACACGGTATGTTTTACATTTTGTATTTATTTTTCAGATGTCTACAACATTATGTTGTCAATATTTTTCAGCGATTTAAAATTATAGAAATATTTCTCTGAATGTTTTTGCAGTATATAACTTCCTATGTATAATTTTCGCGAAGAAGCTAAAGATAAATGTTTTAAAGACAGTGTTTTTATTTTGTATTAACAGACAAAAAGAACAGTTGATATTATTTTTAAATTTATAAAAATTTATAGGTACATATTCTTTTTTTTAACGATATTTAATCAAGTTATTAAATTATTGCGTTAAATTTCGTATTGTTTTAACGTTCCAATATATAATAAGAAATCAAAAGTAACAAAATATTTTTATAATTTGACAAGTAATTATAATTTTATACGTGTATTTTTTATGGAAAGTTTCTTTTCTTTTTACAAATATAAATCTTATTTTTTTATTACTTAAGAAACATTGTTATTAGTAATATTAGTATTATTAAAGAACAAAATTTTAAGACAGTTGTGTTGTTAATTGCAACGAGATAGTGCATCGTTGCAACTAGTTTAAAGCATCTTGTTACATCTTGTTGGACTAAACTAGTAAATAATTTAACCAATAATTTAACTATATCTTAAACGTTGTACAATTCATTGCAATAACGAAAGTATTTATACTGCTTTTACAATGCATATTAAAGTTCTAGTTATCGATTAATTAACGTTTTTCGAAAAGAATCAATTGGATTTTCAGATGCAGTGGTTTGCCATAATGATGTGTTTATATGCTGGGGTAGCAAGTGCAAGAACGGAAGAAGATCAACAAACGTCCTCTTCAACTTCAATTATTGGGATATCTGATGGTCTTTTAGAACATTGCTTTTATCGGCAGTCCAGTGAATGTCCTGATGTTAAGATAACTCAATGTTCTTGCAAAAAAATTGTTCTAACTCGCAATAATCCCGAGGATAACGCCGTTTTTTGTTGCAATTTAGATGTTCAAAACTTTGAATCAGAACTTTCCTGCGCAGGTTCGTATAAATTTGACAAATTGACATGATGAAATACCGTCAAATGACAAATGAAATACTGTAATTGTACGGAAGATACATACAGATATATAGTTCAGCACTTGTCACAAGTCTAGTAACGTTTAAATTATTACAGGATTTCCATCTAACATATCGTACATACATATAAGAAATGCAACATTAGATATATTCAATGTGAGTGAAATTCGATGGAGAAGGTTAAAGTCACTTGCAATTACCGATGGCAAGATCAATAGAGTGAAAGGACAATTTCGAATGATGACACCAACAGTTTGCTTGAATCTTTCAAACAATGCCCTTATCGAGGTAGAGAACAATTCGCTTACCCGTTTAGCTCAACTCACTACTTTGGACTTGTCGTATAATAATCTTACACATTTGCCAGCTTTAAATACAATGAATGGCCGTGAATTTTGGCTTGATATTTCAGGCAAGTGGAAACTGAGCAATGTTTCAATATCAACGTTTTACAGATTTAGACATGTATAATTTTTTATATTTAGGAACTAATACACTCTGGTGTCACGACATTTACCAATATATTAACAAAACAGGGGAAAAGCAAATTAATTTTAATCATGAAAATGAAACTGTGTGTTCAGCTAGTAAAACTTGGCATTGGTTCAACACTACGGAACAGGTTCCATTGAAACAAGTTCGATATCTTAGTTTGGTAATTGTTTCAAAACGAAAATTGTACATTTAATACATCTCCTCGATACCATGCGATATAAGTAGTAATTTAATTAACACTTTGAACTCGTATGTATTACCTAAATCTTGTCTCGCAGTTGCAAACAGAATGTCCGAAAGGAGATACATGGCAGTGTCAGTGCAACTTCAGAAGATTGGATATTGTCGAAGGTAAACCACCGACTTTAGCGGTAAATGTAGATTGTAGTGGAATTCAAATTACCGAATTACCTGAAAAATTACCTCGCAATACTATAGCCCTGAATGTATCATACAATAACGTACGTAAATTTTATATTTTCTCATGTTATTTAGGCCAAGTATAAAATGTCTTAATTTGATTAATTGTTACTTGCTAATATTTATTTTATTAATTAAAATTGAAAAAATTTAATTGTACAAAAATATATCGTAAAAATAATATTTTAATTATTTTTATTACGTTAGCAAATGATATATTATTATTATTATTAATTATTACAGATCACTGCATTAGATGATTTAAGTACCAATCCATGTTACGAAGATATAAGAGAGTTTTATGCCGACTATAACAATATATCGTCTATAAACAAATTAGAAGGTTCCAAGTTTTTAGATAACTATGCTTTACTGAGTTTGCGATACAACAAGATTAAATCTGTAAGTAACGATAAAAGAATCTTGGTAAATCGTATATAAAAGTATTTCAGTATCTCTGCGTATTTTAAATGTGCAGCTTCCAACGTATATTTTAAGTCCTAATACTCATGACAAGAGTTTTATCAGTTCACGATTAGTAAAGCTCGGAGGAAATGAATTACATTGTGATTGTAACACGGCCAAGTACCTAAAGGTAATATTTAGAATATAATTTGAATTTATAAAATAAGTTGATATTTATTTTCTAATGTTTAATATTTAACTCAGGTATGGCTACAAACTCGTATATTAGATTCTGATGAAGTATTGTGTGAAAATGTGAAGGAAAAAGTCGTTGACTTGGAACCTTCAAAAATGTGCGTTTATCCTGGTGATTGGACAGATTATATTTATTATATTATTGCTACAGAAGTTATACTTTTAATAAGTCTAATAGCTAAAGTATCTTACGATTATTGGATTTTTAAAACATTAGGCTATCTTCCATGGCCGGCAAATAAAATGCCAAAACTACCTTGCGATTGGCTGTGCGAGACGTAATAATACCTTTTTATATTTTATTTGTAATATATATTTTACTGAAAGAAATTAATTTTAATACTTTTACATCTCAACGCTTGAACAGTAAAAAATATGAAGTTTTCGTATTTTATCAAATATACATGTCTTATGTATATACACAAATACAACATGAAAAATGTTAACCAAACGGTTGTTCTTAATAACATATTGTACAAAAATGTATAACTATTTAAATCATAAATATATCCAATCAAATATAACTATGCAAACTCACAATTTACATAGCGATCCAAGTTAATGTCTTGATTTTTAAATGATATTCAAAAATATAACATAAAAGTCACGTATATTTAAATTTATAATAGTATATTTATAGTAATATTGTCAGTTGTCAATTATTCTTAACAATTCTTAATAAGTAACCATTTTTTAGCAATTTATTTTAATGAATACTCTTCGATGAACGAATCTCAAAATATATTATGCAAATAAATTCATACAAGATGCATATCAGATATATAAATTTAAATATTGCCTATGTATAATAAAAATGTGATATTTTCTATTAAATACATACTGTCTTCAATACCAATTATTATCTTATAATGAAAATATATTGATTAAAAATGTTGTTAATAATATATGCGTGTGTATATTCAATAATTATCCTAATATATTTGCTTAATAATTTATTTCTTGAAAAAG